TATATATATATATATATATAAAATATATGGAAATTACGTGTCACGTTGTTTGTCCGCAATGGACTCCTAAACTATTGAACTGATTTTAATCAAATTTTGCACACTGTCTGCAATTTCATCTAACTTGAAAGATAGGATAGTTTATATCTCAATTTATAATCGCAATATTCTTTTATCTTAATATATATAAATTACATGTCACGTTGTTTGTCCGCAATGGACTCCTAAGCTACTGAACCGATTTTAATAAAGATTGGATAGTTTATATATATATACCATTGATAACATTATTTGTAATTATTTCAAATAGTAATATATTAAACATGCATAAAATAAATAATAAATTAATATATTTACATGATTGACAATAAATCATCGTATTATTATTTTAATAAATCGATTAACATAATTACTATTTAGTATCCATTATTATTAATAAACTCATATTTAAACAAGAATTCATTTACTATTCACATTGAAAATCTATGAGAATGTTAGAAATGCAACAGGTACTTCATGTAAAGATTATTTCATAATTTATATACAAATATTATATATATATAATTATTATTATTATTATTATTAATATTATGTTATTATTATCATTCTCCAATTAAACATTCTGTTCTGCGTAATATTACACCTTTTACTTGAGCGATAATAATAAACTTCTAAGTTGACAGCTTGAAATATTTCCTTATGCCTTATCTTTCTCATCTTGTTTCGCAAAAGCTATTCTCCTAAGAACATAAATCTATTGTGTTATAAATTCTATCTTTCTCTCTCTCTCTCTCTTTCTCTCTTACGTTTGTTATCGATTATCGCATGAAAAAAAAAAAAAAAAATAGAGAAAAGAATTACATTGCAATGGTTACGAATGAGAGAAGAATCTTATTTTATATGCAAAACTATTGAAAGTTCAAGTGACGACGATTCGTGGGACTATTTTAAAACATTGAATGTTCTGAATAATACAACACGATATCTATATAATAACTATCGAGAGACAGATTAATAAAAATGGTCGTTTCGCGATATTTCTGTTTCACGATCAATGCAGCACCAAGAATATGGAAAAAAAAAAAAAAAGAAGGAGGTCACGATGGGTAACTTGATTCTTACGAACGAAAGAACGTGGATTTGAAATTTCCAATATGTATCCTTACAGAAGAGATTGAAATAAAAAGAATTCAGCTTGCTCTCGTATTTTTTTTTTCTGAAATGATTTTTAAAGGATGAAAACTCATTCGTTTAAATCAAACGAGACTTTAAAAAAAAAAAGAAAAAAATATTGTAAAAAAAGAAAAACTAATATTTAAAATATACTTGATGAATCTCTCTTATCCATTTTCCTCTACACACATATAATCTTTTATTCTTTCCTATATAATTTTATTTTTTCATAAAGCAGCAAGTATATGTACAATATATATATATATATATATTATTAATTATTATATATTATAATTATAATATTAATTAAATATTAATTATTTATATATATCTTAATATATATAAATTACGTGTGACGTTGTTTGTCCGCAATGGACTCCTAAACTACTGAACTGATTTTAATCAAATTTTGCACACTTTGTGCAGTTTCATCCAACTTGAAAGATAGGATAGTTTATATCTCAATTTATAATCGCAATATTATTTGTTTATTAACAAAGAGTCATGATTATCTCTGTTAGTTCGATAAGATTCTAACAGATGGCGGTATAAGGTATAATTGACTTAGACCTGTTTTCATCTGATCCTTTATTAATTTACAATTGAACTTAAGACTTTTTTGTACTGTCAACGAACTTAGAACAATTTCGAAACTAACTCTAACTAACTTAGCACTATTAGAATCAAACTGAACTCACTGAAGAACTGACTGAAACTTAACTCACGAAAAAAATGGACTGGAACTCCCTAAAAACGGAATTTAGGTATTACTTATAGACTAATTAACGCGTAGTGAGAATGACTCTCACTCAGACTTAATTTTACCCTTTCTAGCAGATTTTTATCCCATGTAACCCTTACAATTAGTCTTAAAAAAAAATGTGCCAACCTTTTCCTGATAACCATTCTAAGAGTCTGGCGTCACTTTATCCCTGATTATCAATTTATCAAGAAAAGTATTCTTAGAATTTATCGAGTTTTTTTTTCGGATTTACAGTCGTATTGGATGATTTTCTTACATGGTCGATTCTACGAACTAAATAAATCTTAAAAAATATATATATATATATATTCTTCTGTCATTAAAATTAAAGACAATGTTTTTTATGAAAAAAAAAAAATAATAATTTGAAGAAAAATACTCATTCTTGGATTAAAAAAAAAAAAAAACAAACGTAATATTAAATGTAAAACATACTACTCATAAATCGTTGTTGACTAAGAAATTAACCTCGGTTATTTTATAGGAATGAATTTTATTTCTTTTTTTTTTTTTTTTGGTATCTAAATTTGAGTAATAATTTCAAATATTTTTCCGATAGTGTGTAAATAATTGATTGATACAAACTGTCGAATTATTAGATACCACCTTTTGCTTCATTCGAACGATACAAGTTCAGATTTGATTTGACTTAATGACATTGAAGCACAACGTCAATCCAACGAACAAGAATTCATCATGGTACAAAATGTTTTTTTTTTTTTTTTCAATCAGACGCCTACGAATTTAAAGTCGATACTTGATGTTTGAACAAAATGGAAGAAGAGAAAAAAAGATTTGAAAAAAAAAAAATAATAATAATAAAAGAAAAGAAAACACGAGATAGGTAAAATTGTGTCACAACCGATAAAGTACCCCTACTACTCTCGTAGTAACCTATTTCTCAAACCACAAGGTTATTAACATTTTCAAGCTTAACTACGTACACATAATTATATAACCTTTTGAAATTTAAACCATGATAAAATAAAGCTAATATAATTAATAGGCTAATATTAAATATTTGAATATAAAAATAAACAAATTAAAGGAATGACTTAAAAACAAAAAAAAAATGGTAATTATTTGAATTTCACAGAGAACGCAAGTCGATGGTGTTGGCAAAATGGTACATGGGATAGTTATACGAATTATTCTTCGTGTCATGACATTCAACCATCAACTATAGAAGCTGGTGTAGAAATTACGACAAAAATATACTTTATTGGTTATGGCTTATCTCTTTGTACATTAGCTGTAGCTGTCTCTATATTTCTATATTTTAAGTAAGTATGATCAATCTTAATAAACTCGACAAATGTCATCTGATAATATTTCAAATGTTTTCTCTCATTGTATTCTTTTATTATAATATTTTATTTCAATTATCAAAATAATTCTTCCATTGTCTAACGAAAACGCAATGACGTTAATATTTTATACAACACCATGAATAGTTACACTGCAATATACAGTCTTCTATATAAGTTTAGAAATACAATTTCCATATTTGAATATTGCACGAAAATTTACATGAATATTATATTAATATAATAATTTATTCTAGAATAATGATGAAATATATATATATATATATATATTTTTTGATTTTTTTTTTCCCCATTTTATAGAGAACTGAGATGTCTTAGAAACAATATACATATAAATTTAATGTTAACGTACATTCTGGCTGACCTCATGTGGATACTAACCACCGCAATGCAGGTATAGTTAAATAACTTAAACTTACCATCACATGAATCTGATATTTAATCAAAATATCTTACAATAATGAACTTTTTCAAATGTCATTGAGTTATCTATAATTGTTATCTCTAAATAATATAGAAAAATAACAATTAAGACTAAGCTCACTTAATGTGAGTAATCATTAAATTTCTTTTAGAATCTATAGATTTATGGTTCCCGATTAAATGGCTGTCGAAGTATTTTCCAACATATCAATATTTGATATTTTATAATGAATAATTTAACAAAGACAAAGATATCTAATAAGAATAATTTGTTAATAATAATTATTAGTCGATTTCATTTAATTACATTTTGTAGGTTTCCATGCAAACGGATATACCAACTTGTGTCACGTTCTTCTCCCTTCTTCATTATTTTCAATTGACCAATTTCTTCTGGATGTTTGTCGAAGGTCAGTATATTGTTAATTGAATTCAAACAAATAAAGCAAAGAACAAATATTAACTTGATAGACAAATAATTATTGTTTTTATTACTATATACAATAACTCAAGAAGTTGCAACAAAAGTCAATATTTATCATTCAACAGTAACTCGAATATTTAAATTGATAGTAGTTTTTAAATTTAATATTTAAAGATCGAAATTATTTATAAATTAACCGTATAAAAAAGCTCAAAAAAAAGTAAATGTTCTAATTATTTTCTTGTTGCAGGATTGTATCTCTATTTGTTAGTTGTAAGAACTTTTACGGGTGATAATATTAAGTTGAGAATGTGTCTTGTAATCGGTTGGGGTAAGTTTTTTTGAATGTTATCATTGATAACAGTTTCTTCTACTTCAGTTTTTTTCCCTGTATAATCTATAAATCTGTTTTAAAGGTCTTCCAATTTTCATCATAGCCATATGGGGTATTGCCAAATCTCTGGTCACTCAAGGAAATCAGGTACAAAGATACTAAATTGAATAAACAAAGATATTAGTCATATTTTGAATCTATAATATTGATCATATTTTACAGAATATCGCACTTTGGAAACACTGTCCATGGATGACACCACATCCATGCGATTGGATTTATCAAGCATCTGTCATTACAGTTCTTGGTGTTAATGTAATCTTCTTATTCTTGATCATGTGGGTAAGTAATTATGTTGTAAACACGTAAAAAAAAACAATCTCTTGTACAAATGAACGTTGACTCGATTAATTTGTTCGTCATTTCTATTAGGTACTGATAACTAAATTATGGTCAGCGAACAATGCAGAAACGCAACAATACAGAAAAGCTAGCAAAGCTTTACTGGTGCTCATACCACTTCTTGGAGTGACATATGTTCTGGTTCTCGCTGGACCAACGGAAGGTCAAGCTGCTAATGCATTTTCTTACACCCGTGCTGTGTTACTCTCTTCTCAGGTAATATTACAAAAGAAAAGTCCTTTAACGGTAAGCTTCTGTTACACTCGCCATTAGGATAAAATGAAACTTTGAAGGAAAGCTTTTAAAATAGAATAGAATAATTGACTTAACATTTCCGTCACGCGCTAGGAAATTTATTGCACATTTTGATGGTATCGCAATCATTTACTTTTTGAAGTGAACATTTTTTTAGAATGGGTTTGATTTAACAAAATGTAACGCAGTGATGTAGTGGGGGAAAGAAACGGCTTTATAAAAATAATTTATTTATATAATATAGAGATATTTGATTTGCAAACATTTTTTCTAGTGTTTTATACTATTTACTTTTCTTTGTAATTATTATAAAAATGCGCGCCTGTATGAATGCAACCCTCCAGACACATTTTGAAAATGTTACCTGCGAGTGCCATCTGTTGGAACAGAATTTTTGTTCTGCCCTAAAGATAGACAACCTGTCATACATACGTGTATAAACAGTTTTGACTGCAAAAAAAATTCCGTCCCAGTAGATGGCGCTCGTAAGCAACATTTTCAAAGTGTGTCTGGAGGGTTGCATACGAACAGGCGCACATTTTTATAATTAAATAAATAAACTTGTTTATTTGAAGGTTTCACTTCTAACTTGTGTGATATCCACATATGTTTTTTTTTTTTTTTAATATAATATCCTAAAACATAATAATCTAAAAAAAAAAAGTCGAATGAAAAAGAAGAAAATACAAAGAGATCTGAAATGTTTTCTTTTACAACAGGGTTTGCTGGTGACGCTATTCTATTGTTTTCTCAATACCGAGGTGCAAAGTGCACTGAGACATCACTTTGCAACGTGGACAACGTCGCGTGATCTTGGCAATAGTCGAAGGTATTACAAGAATTGGTCTCCGCGCTCAAGAACAGAAAGCATAAGGTACTTGAAGTCCGCGCCGAAGACGCGCACGTCTTAAAATCGCTTTGCGGTGCTTCAAGACGTTGAAAGAACGCAGAAATGACGAACGTGAACGACTCTCCTCTTTTAATTTTATTTAATAAGACGACCGAAATATAGAAAATCGAGAGAAGCTGCGTTTCTTCAACGAAAAAATCTTATCGAGAAATAATCAAGGTATATTGAAATGAAAGGAAATAGAAAATCAATAGAAATTAAAATTACTTTTCTCGCGAAATAAATCTAACGTAACACTATATCAATACATAAGACATACACGTAGGTGAGTTGAAAAGTTTTGAACTTGACATAGAAACCATTCTATTTTTTTGTTTTTTAACAAACTCATTTTTATTGAAAAATAAACAAATATTTTGTTTGTTAAAACCTTCAAACTTGTCTACCCACCTTCGTACATTATTACGTTAAGACTTGTAAATCGAGCCACGAAAAAAAAAAAATAACATCCTCGTCAATATATTCTTGATAACTAAAGGATAACATTTTCTAAATGATCTTCAGGCTATACGGCCAACCTTCAAATCCATATCGTAAAAGGGAATCTACAGTAAGTGAAACAACAACCACAACGGTGATAGGTGCTAATTCAACAACAACTTTTCTGGACAAATCTAAGAAAGCCATTTCAGAAGATTCAAATGAATAAAATTTAACACAAAGCAAATTTGTATAAGAGAAGAAACTGTGGTAAGATAATTGAGCGTAATGAACTCATTGTAGGAAATATATCTTTTCATAAATGTCATTGTGTTATCAATTATGATGTTAATATAATGATGATATACTTTTTGCGATCTTTATACATTGTATATGTTATTGATCGTTTCAAAATTGTCAACTCATCTTTGTTCGCTTAAAAAGTATCTTCGATTTTTGTACCAGCCAAAAATAATGATAATTAATATTAGTACGCATTAAATCGTTATTAAATACTACTAATAAATATTATATTATTATTTTGTTATAAAATTATAAGACTCATTTATTTTTCCACTTTTATTATTACTTAGCAATAATAGAGTTTATGTGGTTTGTTTTTAAATATTTAAAAATCTGTAATAACAAACTTGAAAAATAAGATTCAAATGTCTATACGAGTGTACGTATTTATGTATAGGAATTAATTTTCAACTGTAGGAAATCCATAACATTAATTTATATTCCTTGGATATATGCACGTTCACTGATACATATACATAGTGGGTCAGTAATCGTATGTTATTACAATATTTTGTTTAATTTTTTCATGTAAAATCAATCCCTAACTAGTTGTACTACGATTACTATCCCACCCTGTATAATAATATTCTACACACACCCTTTCTGACTTACAGCACAGTACGATTAAAATTAATATATATGTATAATATTTTATCTCTATTAGTATTTAATTATTGTAAATGAAATATTGAATATCTGTATATAAAATAGTATAAGAGCATATTAACATTAAGTTATACAGTTGAGATCTTCATTTTAGTTAACCTTTTTTTCACATTGTAATATTCAATTAAATATTAATTTGAAACTAGACTGAATAATATTAATTTAAGAAAATGTAAAACGCTGAGTAAGTCTATCAAATATATCTGTAATTAGTATTAGAAACAAAATAATGTCATAAATAAGTAAATTAATTATAAGATGTTAACGTATTAACTAATTGATTTATGAACAAGATGTTCCTAATTTAAAATGAAAAGTGACATTTTTTTCAAAATTACATTCAAAAATCTGTACCTGACCTTTCAAGATTCTTTAAAAAGACTTTCAAAGTATATTTTACATATATAAATACCTCTTTTATTGGATATTTCATTATTATAATATTATAATATTACAAGATCACAGACGAGCCATTATATTTGACATTGAGTAAAAATAACAGCTTCGGTAAGTTTATAGTTACTATTTTTTTTAGTAGTAATAATTATTTATTGTAATAACGACCGCAAGAACGTAATTTATTTTCTAAAAGCTATAAATTAGCGATATATATATATATATATATGTACAAAATATGAAATAAAAACTGAACAGAGAAACAACGTCCTCACTATGCACCTTGTAATAAAGAGTATAAGTTTATATATTTTATACTTATATTACATAGTGTAAGGCTGTTACATATAGTAATTGGTATAGAAATTTGCGATAAAAAAAAAACAAAAATTTTTGGCAAAAATAATAAAAAATAAGTAAAGAATTAATTATTATTTCAATAAAAAATAATAATGTAAATGTAATTAAAAAAAAAAAACATGTGTGCATATCACACAAGTTAGAAGTAAAACCCTCAAATAAACAAGTTTCGAGAATAATTTATTATATAATATTATTATAATATTATTTTTACTTTTAATTTGTAATTATTTATTTAATTATTAATTTAATTATATAAATGTGCGCCTGTTCGTATGCAACCCTCCAGACACACTTTGAAAATGTTGCTTGCGAGCGCCATCTACTGGGACGGAATTTTTTTGCAGTTAAAACTGTTTATACACGTATGTATGACGGGTTGCCTATCTTTCGGGCAGAATAATATTCCGTTCCTACAGATGGCGCTCGCAAGCAACATTTTCCAAGTTTTTCTGGAGGGTTGCATTCATACAGGCGCGCATTTTTATAATAATTACAAAGAAATTAAATAATAAAACACTTTTTTTCTTTATCTTGTTTATCAACATTTCTTGGCATGTCTTTTGGTTATAGGATCTGCTGTAGAATAATTAAATCTTGTCTTTTTTAATAGAACAATACGTTTTTCTTCATTTTTATCACCACCAATTTCTTTCGTAGTAGAGCCAATGTGATACACTAGCGCCTCTTCTCCCTATACGGGAACCATCCCAATTAAGATCTAGAATAATGTAACATTCAAAAGATATGTCTTATATATGGCGTCCAAAAAAGAGTGTATTTATTATTAATAATAATAAATTATATATTTTCTCGTTGGTAAAATTCGAAAGCGAATATAAACTTTCCAGATAGCCTTTATCCACCGTCCTGGTTCTCCAGATAATGTAATGACTGTACAATAATAACAAACTAACTAATGTAATATTAATCTGGTTAGAGGAAAAAAGTGGCTTGTAAGGTTCTATGTAGTTTTGTATTCTTTGCATTTGTCCTGCCTATCATATGTATGTCAAGTCACATGTCATGTATTCAATTTTTACTATAGACATATCTTTTTCATTATTTTTATCAACTTCACATATGATTTAATAGCAATAATGAATATGCCAATTTTGGTACTTATAATATTTGAAAAGATATTATAAAATATAAATCTATTAGAGTAATAATTCAGATCTCAAATTAATTTGTCAATTTTTAATTTATTGATCTGTTAATCTTAAGAGGTTAACTCTACTTAAGAGGTAACTCTTAGTCATCATTTTGTTGTGACAACTCGAAATAGGGAACATAACACGAAAAAGAAAACATTATACAATAAATAACTTACTGTAATGTAATATGATATACCATTATACAGCAATAAGATTTTCTTTATCTCAAATTAATCGACGATTATGTATGAAATTGCGTTTCACAGCATCAATTTAAGCTCGATAGTCGTGACAATAAGAATATTACTTTTTATTTTTATTTTTTATTTTGTAATTTATGATATTCTATAAGCATGGAATGTTATAAAGAAATCAGTTCAAGTGAAGATGAATTTGATTTTTCTTTATTGAATAACGAAAATACATCTCTGTATAAAACACTTATTGATAGAGAAGAGGAGAGCAATGATGAAGATAGTGACAATGAAAGAGATGAAAGAATGAGAAAAATCAGAGTAATAGATAATAAATATGAAAGTGATAGTGATTCCACAGAAGAGACAGAAATTTCAGAATGGACAGCATGCACAGAATCCGAAGAAATACCACAAAGAATACCCTTTGTATCTGGTGAAAGAAACGTAGGACCACACGTATCTTCAGACATAAAAGAACCATTAGATTTTTTTCAATTATTTTTTACCGATCAACTAATTAATGAAATAGTTCATGAAACTAATGATTACGCTGCAAAGAAGTTAGAAGGGAAGACACTATCAACACATTCCATATGGCGAACTTGGCATGATGTGACCAATGAAGAATTTAGGGCGTTTATTGCACTATTAATAAATATGGGGACCATGCCATTAATAGACTTACAAAAATATTGGTCAAAAAGTAATGTTAGCCACGTTCCTTTTTATTCAAACACATTCTCGAGAGATAGATTTAGTCAAATATTTTGGATGCTTCATTTGAAGACAATTTTTACACAAAATACTAATCCAAGAACTCGTTTGCAGTTAGTAAGCTGCTTTCTCGATTACATAAATTTACAATTTTTGAATTATTTTACACCAGGACAACAGATTTGTATGAATGAGTCTACTATTAAATTCAAAGGTCAGGTTTCATTTATTACTTATAATCCAAAGAAATCAACCAAATGGGGTATTAGAGTTTACACAATGGTAGATTCCAACACTGGCTATATTTGTGGTATACTACCCTATTATGGAGCTCTGACAACAGAGCAATTGATAAGACCTGACCTTCCAATATCAATTAGAATTCCATTGCATCTTTACTCAATGATATTGGACAAAATTCCTGGTTCTCAGGGACATCACTTGTTCACGGATCAATATTATACTAGTTATATCTTGGCTAAAGAATTACGCGAATTGAAATGCCATTTAACTGGGATGATTTTAACAAATAGGAAGGAGCTACCATTATTAATAAAACATCCAAAGTTTCACAAAAATTCCACAGTAGCATATCGCAAAGATAATACTTTAGTTTTAGCATGGAAGGACAAAAAGATTTTCACATGTTTGACCACTTGGGATAATGCTGGAGTAACTCTCACGAAAAGAATTTTGCGTGGTGGTATTGAAGTTACTGTAAAAAAACCTAATGTTATCATAAATTATATAAAATATATGGGTGGTGTTGATCAAGCTGAACAATATGCCTCGACATATTGTTTTTTAAGAAAGTCCTTGAAATGGTGGCGAAAGCTATTTTTTTGGGGTTTAGAGATCTGTTTAATCAATTCTTATATTCTTTATAAATTAGTAAAAAAACAGAGAAACGAACGGCCACTTACTCATCTTCAGTATGTAAAAACTTTGGTTGAACAATTAAGAGGAGACTTTTACCAAACACGCAATCAAGCATCTACTTCGTCCTGCAATTCTGATGAAATTCGATTAAATGGAAAGCTACATATTATGCTAACAGGCACTAAGAGAGATTGCAAAGTTTGCTCTCAACGAATGAAATTTGGCGAAAGACACCAAACTACATATTACTGTGATACTTGCCCCGACAAGCCAAGGATGCATCTTGGTGATTGTTTTATAAAATACCACACAAAGCAACATTACAAAATTTAATGTTTAAAAAATTTCTTTTTTTAGAAATATATATATACAAAAGTTTTATTTCTATATGAAATTATTATTTTAAGTTAACTGTAAGAAATTTATCAAAAATATGCAAATGTTTAATAAAAGAAATTTTTCATTTTACGCGACGGGTTCAATCAATCGTTCATATTAAAGTCAACATAGTACACGGAAGAATCACATGACTCACGGACTCATTAATTTATTACATTGCTAAATTCTATGTAAAAATATAATATAAAATAAAAATTATGAGAACAAAAAAAAATATATGTATATATATATATATATATAAATATATATGTGTGCATATGCATAAAATGGCTTGCTTCGATTTAAACAAGGAATTTTATGTTTGGTGCATGTTATATTTGTGTATATAAAAAACATGATAAAAAAAAAACAACAACAATATTATAAAGTTAAGAAATGGATCTGAAACATTATTGTGAATTCTATGTATATGAATTAATTTTTTACATTCAGTGATAATTTAATATTATATTAACAACTGCATAATTGTTCATATTGTTATCATGTCCACATTTACGTAAGACCTAACAATACTTTGTACAAGTTTTATAATACACATATATTACGATGTGATTCAGTTTATATACTGCATAACATGATATTTTGGAATAATGCTTGTATAGAATAATCTTTTCCTAATAGAAGGAAATGAACTTATTCATACGTAGCATCATAAAAAAAATGTTTCATAGTAAAATTTCACTTGTTTCTTCATCCGATGATGCTTGGAAAATTGAAATCTTTATTTATGCACTTGTATGAACAAGCATTTTTATCCAACTATTCAGTTCGTTGGTATTAATCTTGAAGTGTTCTCATGATTCTGATACTTTGGTTTTCCATGAGTAAAAGGCAAATATCTGTACTTGATCATATGCTGAAAGTAATTCATATGCATAAGTTGATACATTAGTTTGAATTAATCGTAACTAAATTAAAAAAAAAAAAAATCTATTTTTAAATTTTTATTTATTTTACTTTTTCTACAAAGAAGACTTGAAAAAATAGATATGATGAAAAATCTTACCTTAATTTGACGCTTCATTGTAATGCAGAATAATGTTATGAAATACATAACTAATATTGGCCAAAATACAGGTATATTAAAGAAATCAAAGAAAGTGCATATCATAGCAACAATTGTTGATTTTGTCACGGAGTACCAAAATTTAAATTCAGGCAATCTCCTTATAAATGGCCTGAATTCTTCATTGGCCCTTGTAGGTAATTCTGGGCCTTCAATGTCTATGAAAATATTATTAAACAAATATTTATATCTAGAATCATTTCAAATATCATATTACTATGATAAATCTATTTAAAAAAAAAAAACAAAACTACCATCCAAATCCATTGCAGGATCTATCTTCGGTGTAAGGAATGCTATGAATAAATTCAAGTGATAAATTCCTAATGCATATGTTACTATATACCACCCCTAAAAAAAGGATATATAAATGTTATGAATATTATTAATAAAATAATATCAATAAACTCAATTTCATTAATGATCAATTACACAAAATGTATATTTACCTGAGTAAGGAACACACGTAGAAAAAAAATGGCTACTAGAAGTAAAGCAAAAAGCCATCTTGATATAACATGTGGAGTCCATAAGTCTAAATATCGCTGATGTGCCTATAAAGTAACAAACATATTTTATTTCAATTTATTTCATAAGATATTAAATATAAATGAAATATTATATAAAAAAATATTTTTAACATGTTCCCTGCCATGCTGTTTATGAAGAGATGTCATTTCTAGGTCACGTATACCAATTTCGGTACACGGTAATAAGTTTAATTATTTTCTATAAATATCTGTATTTTTTTTTTTTTCTTGTGTTTGGGAAAATATATATTGTCTTCATAATTATAAATATTAAGACGACGACAAAATGCGTTTAAAAAATAACACTAATAAATGAAATTCATTTCACTTTGAACAATTGAAATAAAAATTATGTTGAAAAGTGTATAGGAAATAGTAAATATGTAATATATTTGACTTATATTTTCATATAGCGATAAATTTTGTTTAAAAAAAAAATCAATGCATAAGTATGAGACAATTATTACAAAAGATTGTTATCTATTTTGTAGTATTTTGTGCTATTTAACTATTATAATTTATACATAACTAATTGCCATGTTGCGTGTACTATTTTCGCGTTATACGATTTAAAAATGATTGTAAACATCATTACGTTACATAAGACAGTGTTACTAGCAATTATTTGTAGATGAAAACATCTCAAATTAAAAAATTCAGCTTGACGTACAAATGTATTGTAACATGCATTGAAAACGGTAAACGTGGCAAAGGGAACGTGTTAATTATCTTACGCGAAATTATATTTGGATAATGAAATAATTACTATTAAAATAGATATTACTAACCTGTGATATTTTTGATATTGTTTGAATAAAAATATTCCGTCTAGCTGGACCCCCAAGATCCTCATCTTGCATCATTTTATTCTTCTAAAGTATCAATGTAATGTCTATTTATATTCTAGTTTCAACTCAGGGGATGATAGTTGAATACTACACAATAGTTGCTGCATATATCCAAAAACGATTAATGATGATATCTAGGAATCATTACAAATGTATTACACAATAATACTTTCTTATCTTAAAAATGAAACTTTGTAACGCACATCCAAATAATTCAGATAGAAATATAATCTGATTATCTTGATCTATATTCCGGAAAGAAAAATATGGATGATTTAAACAGAATGACAATAATTTGACGTGTAATTAAAGTATTATCAATAGAAATTCAAGGTTGTAGATATGTAAGGTAATAGTTGAAAAATTATCTCTATAATTATCTATATACTTATTCAATAATATAATGAAATGTAAAACTTAATACTTAATTGAAAAATATTACGAAAAAGTTTACGATTTATCATAAACGGTAAATTCTAAACTTTGACATTATGCCCTATTAACCAAAGGTAAAATAAACGAAGAGGTATGTACCTAACCTCGTCATCTTATAAGATTCAGCAATAGTCGAACGACTTCAACATATAATATATCCAGCATCGAATTACCTAAAGTGTCCGCTGTTCTTTATTAATTTGTACAATCAAAATATCTTTAAGATTTAGTTAAAAAAATATAACACGTCACAACATTAATGAGATACTATGATAAAACGTTCTATAGAATTTACAAAATGCTTAGTCTTCTGCAGCACCATCTCGTTAACAAAAAGTTCAAGTCCAGTTTAAATGTAACTACATATTTTACCTTCCCATTGATTGGTTAATATCAGAATACAGTTAGTGATTGATAACAGTTACACGAGACATTTTGTGTTTAAAATATGATTCAGTAACTAAATAAATATAAATATAAATTTAGTTATACAAGAAATTTGATCTTAAATAAAGTAAGTCTAAAAAAACTTGATATTAACGTAGAATAAAACAAAAAAGAAAAAATAATGAAAAAATTTGTTGAGTTAGATATCATTTTCATGCGTTGTTAATGATTTTCATTAACTGTCTTAACATTTATTACATAATGACATACTTATGAATAATTTGTGAATTTACGTATTATAACCAATTAAAGTTTAATAAAAGTTATATATATATGTGTATATAATTTATTTTGTATATATAGATATAGATATATATATATATGTATATATATATATTACAGTTTCATTTCAATTAATCAAATTCAATTCGTTGCCAGTTAAATTTGAATAAGTTCCTAAATTGACTACCAGGTTGTGCTTTGATTATTATAAACTTCGTCTACAAATCTTGTTTCTCTTAACTTTTTCTATAACCGATGATAAAAGTAATTTTTTACTAACCAATATCTTATTCTGTGATTTTCTCGAAGAATTTTCCATCCTCTTCTTCAGCCGGTACCTCCATTTTGTTTATTACAACAGCGAAGAGTATCAGGATATCGTTGATACAATATCATATTATACGTGGAACATTATCAACGAATAATTTTGTAATAAAATAGTGGCTTTTAGAAAAAAGAAGATTGCAACATGTCTCACGGAGGTAGAAACGAGTGTAGGATTTACGTAGGCAATTTACCTCCAGACATAAGAACAAAAGATATTCAAGATCTTTTCTATAAGTTTGGAAAAGTTACGTTTGTGGATTTAAAAAATCGTAGGGGACCACCGTTCGCGTTCGTCGAATTTGACGATCCAAGGTAACATTGATAAATTAATTGTAGTTGATGAATTAATCAAATTCTATTTACCATTGTTTATATATCCACTTTTCTTGATATATAATAATAATAATTAATAAATTATCATTATTTTGTCAATAATAATATTAAACATTATTTTTTTTATTAAAATTTATGATCATCTCTTGCTATATTTATATTTGTAAAATTATGAACATATTTATTCATTATAAAATTGGTGTCTTTCTTGTAGAGATGCTGAAGATGCTGTACACGCCAGAGATGGATATGATTATGACGGTTACCGATTGAGAGTTGAATTTCCAAGAGGTGGCGGTCCAAGTAATAATTTCCGTGGAGGTCGTGGAGCAGGAGATACCGGTAGGGGAGGACGAGGCGAAATGAGTAACTCTCGAGGACGTGGTCCACCAGCAAGACGTTCTCAGTATAGAGTGCTTGTTACTGGTTTACCTCCATCTGGAAGTTGGCAAGACTTAAAAGATCATATGCGAGAAGCTGGTGATGTCTGCTTTGCAGATGTATATAAAGATGGAACAGGAGTTGTTGAATTTTTGCGCTACGAAGATATGAAATATGCAGTGAAAAAACTTGATGATTCAAGATTTAGGTCTCATGAGGTATGTTGATCTTTTATAAGTATATATATATATATATATATATTATTTTGTGAATGCGAAGTAAATTGAAAAATATCCTTGTGCTTTTGTTATATTTTGTTTATATTTGAATTGTGTAGGGTGAAGTGGCATATATACGCGTTAAAGAAGATCACAACAGTGGCGACAGAGGACGTAGTGAGGATAGAGAAAGGGGTAGAAGCCGTTCACGAAGCTATAGTCCAAGACGTCGTGGTTCTCCTACATATTCACCGTTGCGGCGTAATTACTCGCGTTCAAGATCCCACTCCAAATCTCGATCGTACGACTAGTGTGTACGTATATGTTTCACATGGTAATATAAGTAAATGTTTATTGATATTTGCTTTACCATGTTTTATTATTGCTGATTTAAAATTTGATTATATAAAAATTTCAATCCAATTAGACTTTATAAGGATTATAAAAATGTCTTTTCTGACATAAATAGAATATTCTGATATATTCGGTAAATGAATTGGGCACATTCCTCTTGCATAGAAAACATAACAACCACAAATTTGTGACTTTTATTTTTAATTTTGATATTGTTGATAATTGAATCAGCAATAATATGATATCCCAAATAATCATAAAGTATAATAAGTTTCAATAGCAAGTTTCATAATAACAATGAAAAGGAATTGTGCTCATAATCGACTGTTAATCAACAAATATGCAAAACTACACCAGTTAGGTCACTTGTACATTATAAAATACATTCCTTTATATTTTCAAACTGGTTCTCTTCATAATTACTTATAAAGCATGTAACAATTTTGAAGTACCGTTAGTAAAGGGATTGACGATCCACCTTCAATGATCATACATTGATTAATTACATCTGCAACAGAATGTTTGATGCTTCCAAACAATCAGTGTAATTATTCACATTCAATGATCTGCAGTATATTTTTTAATAATACACTAGTTACTGTAGAATCCGGTAGGCATATTACAGTACCAAATCCAGTGTGAGATTTTTTTAATCATTCATAATTATTTATCGAAATTTTGTCAAAATAAACATATTACACTGAAATTTTGTCTAACCTATTAAGATTTAATAGGTTTTTTTTTTTTTTTATTTTTAATCTTTGTATGCTTTATATTAAGCTAATGGCAAAATTATATTACCATCTATGATATAAAGAAATCATTTCGAAAATGAAATCTGGCTTTCAAAACAATCTAACGTAAATAACTACAGTATTAGAACATAATTTTGATAAAAGCATTCAAAGTATGTATCATTATATATACATACATATATTTTTGTCATATTGAATCTTGATAAATATCTAGTTTATATATTAATTTTATAAACTTTTATATTCTTTCTATAATTATGCCATTAGTTTAAATTTTATATTACAAAATTTTCGTACTAATATTTTTCCCTTAATATTTTTCACTGAAGGTACTGAGATATTTTGATTATAAATTATTGCATACAAAACTGTTGCATGTCATAATTATTACTGTTTTATTTGATATATATATATATCCCATAATTTGTTTTCATTCACTATAGAACCAAATTATGTTACTATAAAAGTTTGTGAGTGTTTTTTTTTTTTCCAGCAAATTTTATATAAGTATATATACACATACATAATTCACACACACACATATTAGACATTTTTTTTAAACTGCCAAATTACCACTTATATAAATCTACATTTGCTTTAAAACCATGTATCTTTTTTTAAAAAAAGAAAAAAGATACTGATAGAAATTTTGCATGATATGGGTTTTCTTTTTTTCTTTTTTTCTTTTTTTTTTTTCTTTCTTAGATATAAAATACATTTTGTAACAATTATAATAATCTTCAACTTATTTCTCTATTTTTTTTATTTTAATTAGTAAAACAAAAACAAAAAATATATTCGCGAATAGGAATAATGAAAAAAATTCCAACTAATTGATATTATTTATATTATACTCATTATGGAAATATTATTGGGATACAGTTTTACACATTGCCTTTTTAAATATTTCAAATCATCTTGTTTATTGTTATAATCCAGCTAAACTTAATTAATATATAACACTAATTATATAATTATGGGTAGGCAAAATGTTACAACTGTAGAGATTATATTTTCACTGTTTATTTCTATTCAAATGATCATTAAATCTAGATACTTTAATATTTGATGTAGTATAATTAAAATTCTTCATTGTATATAAATATTCTAATGAGCAAATGAATTGTATAAACTGGACAGTGGTGCATGTATGCCTACGGATATCTAATTTAAAAAATACAAAATTTCTGTTGAGATTAGGCATAAAAAGAGAATATAATCTTTGAAATGTCTATAAATATGATGAATTAAGTGATTGTTGATGGTAGATGATGATGATGATGATGATGATGATGATGATGATGATGATGATGGTAAATTTATTTTACCGTATTAGAATTGCGACTTGTAAAAATTCCAAGTAAACACATTTTCTTAAGTTTTGTTACAAGGATTTCAATTGTCCTGACATACGCACATATAATATCCAGCTAAAGCATTTTATCCACCTGCATTTCTATGTTCTTATTGATGAGAGAGAAAGTGATCTATTGGCTAATAATACAAAAAATTGTAATATCTGTAATTAATAGCAACATCTTTAATTATTCTTTTTAGCCATTTTTACTTTCTCTCATTTCTTTTGTGTTATTGGTTTTCCTTTTATACATATACATATATATATATATATATATAAATTTGTAGGTGTGCATATACGTATGCATTAAAGCCTATTTAATTTTCAAAATTAACATTAAAATCTAAATCAAATTTACATTATTCTAAAAAAAAAAAAAAAAAATACATTCATAATGGATAAATAATCCAATTGCGCTGAATCTTTTTCTTTTTCTTTTTCTTTTTTTTTTTTAATCAATTTCAATGCTTCTAAACTTTGTTAACATTATTTCAAATGTTGTATTTTTAATGACGTGCGTAATGATGCTTAGAATTACACATTTTTAAAAAACTGCCTTTTGTCCAATATGTTTAGCATTACAAGTGGAAAATAATAATTGATTCTTTTGTTAAATATCAAAATATATTGCAAATTAATCCTGTGATCTTACATTTATTCAGATTTGTAAAAACACGTTTCAATTTCTCTTTCATATATATATATATCTCTCGCGTTATTAGTTACAATTTAACTTTATTACGTATATCTATTACGTCGTTATTTTGATTAAATTGAACACTTCTTTAGATCACAAGGGTTATTTTTGCACTTATAATATTTATGTTTATCTTTAATTATTCTTGTCTAAGAGACTAATGTATTTTTTCTTCTTTTGTATATTGGATTGGATTGTAACACAATGAATGAAAAACTCAAATCGACACGATCTTACTTCTTGGATGGATATAATACACGTTCGTGCTTGACGGTGGGATAAAATGGAATGCGTTTTGGATGGATTTTGTGTGGAGCATAAGTTATAAAAGGATTAAATGAGAATCAAAGTAATGAGACATTAAGGATACTTTCAAGAGGAATTTGAGGATAAGGAAAGGAATGAATTAAGAGCACAGTGCATTTCATTCGAGGATTCACATTTAGCTGGATTTTCATCAGGAAACGTTGGCAAATCCATTACAAGGAGTCAAATCGATCGTCCATACTTTTTTTATTTTTTTTTTTTTTTATTTTTTTTTTCGAATTACATTTAAATTATGTTTGCTTGTGCCTTAAAAGTGCTGTTAATGTCGGTGAATGGAAAGGAAAAAAAGCAATGTGAACTTTCAGCAGTTTCAACATTCATGTGCTTTAAGTTTTCTTAGATTGAGTGTTATGTAATTCATCAAGTTCTCATTGACAAATTGCTTTTTTTGAATTTATTCATAACTTTGTGAACGGTCAAACTGGTAATGGAATGTCAACTTGTCTTTTTTTTGATTTAAACAAATTTATTCACAGGATATATAATCATATCAAAAGTATATCCATTTGTATCGAATTTGTTAGCTGCCGGGAGATAATATGATTTTCTTTTTTCTTCGTGATCAACAAATCACATATTTTGCTAGATATTCTTTAAGTATTTTCAAAGAAATGAAAAAGATTGCTAACTTTAATTAGATTGAAAAAACTCCAAATAGTAGGTGTACATAGGATGTTTTGTATATTTATATATATATATAATAGTATAGGTGTATATGATTGGGATAGTCTTTTTCGCGTTTAGACAGTTGCTCTGATAAATTACTTCGTATGATATTAATTTCGTTTTGCTTATTTCTATCAGTAATTTTTACTATTCTCATGGTTTATACTAGTATCTCTTACTATTTGAAATTAAGTGAAACATTTTTTATCTGTGCAACATTTATTAATTCCAACGTATTATGTATCTTCGAAACTTAGTGTATGAAGAGGATTCGAAAAGACAATTTTTCTTCTTGGACTACATCCATAGATTTTAGAAAAACTCAATATCCTGAAATTATATTTTACAACAAACATGGCTCAAGGACAGGACTTGGCATTAGGATTGGCTTGCAGGATAAATTAGTATACATGGAGGATTTTTGGAATATTGGATTATTTAAGTGAAAATAATGGACGGATTTTATTGAGAGGAGGATGACTTGGATTTATTATGTGAACACTGTCAGTATGGAGAGGATGGATTTGGATATGAAATGTTATCAATTGAAAGTGTCTCAGTAATAGCGGTCTTCGCATCTCATAGGGTTCATGGAAATCTCCTAGATCACATATGATGGAATTTGGATCTACATTTAGTGGAATCTGTGCAAGATTATCAGATTTCGTTGACATATGAGGATAACAAAAGTGATTTCTGTAAGGTATTTAAAGTAATTTCTATTTGAGATATCACTCAAATTCATTAGAGCGCATGCCCTTCTATAATATTCACTATGATTTCTTCTCTTTAATTTTGAAAGTTCATACTGCTCGAAATAGCATTAATTAACTTAGTATCATAGATTATTTGGCTTTAGATCGGTATACATTTGTTATTTTATTATGTTAATAATTATTTCTATTTATATGCAATCTTTATTATCATCATCTGATTTTACATAAACACTAATTTTATCGTAATCTTTTTTTTAAATGCTTTTATTAAAAATGCGCTTGTTTAACATTTAATTTACGTTGCAAAAATCACAGAATATATTTAATGAATGAAAATTGCCGTTCGTGTATATAAAAGTATACAAATTTAATGAATTTTTAAATGAGTATTATAAAAACACAATTTCGCAGTGATATTTCATTTGAATCAGTTTTATTATTAAGTAGCAATATCATCCAATATATCATCGAAGATTTTAAAATAATCAAATCATTGGTAGACATTCAACTTGATTCCAATGCAAGTATACATACAGCTATATTATATAATTGAAGCAGAACTAACCATGCATGTATATTTAGTCTTTTGCAACAAGTTTTCAAATTAAAATAATTCTTAGTAAAAGTTTCATTATTAAAGTAACAGGTATCTTTCTAAAGCAGCTAATATTTATTATGAATGTTTCCTCTTGTGTCTTTTATTGAATCAATAGATCCATAATAATACATTTAATCTTCTTATTTATACTTTCATATAATATAAAGTAGCTGTCAATTGCATATTGCACTATTTGTTTTAATCATTTTCTATCTATTTAATAAAGTCTAATGAACATTTTATAAACCTTAATGATTCATGATTCCTCTTTATGTACACGCAAAATAATATCGTGAACGTTGATTTCCCCTCTCCCCCCCCCCAAAAAAAAAAAACTCTATAAACGGTGATAAGGAATCTGCTTGCTGTCATATTACATATAAGTTGCTGAGATACATATTTAAAGAAAAAATTAACAAGGAACACGACGATCACGATAGTTTTTCCCCCTTTTTTCTTTTTTGTATTTCGTTATAGTGTTTTTCTTAACTTTGAGGGATGGTATTTCAGGATATATAATTGAGTGTTAATTATACTCTTTTTGTATGCTCTTATTATTGTAGCAGACTTCATAATTTATTTCATTTTAATAAGTAACACACACGTATATATATATATACAACACAAAATAGCTATCTATTTTCCTTTTGTCTCCAAGTTTATGTAAGTATCTGAATTGCCAAACACAAAAATTAAGTAAACCAAAATAATTATATTATGAATCTTATAAATGAACTGTATAATATACAGATTGATCAAAAAGTATTGTATATATCTTTTCTATGCGTCCACCTTAATTTTATTCAATCATTTTTTTCGAATTATTTTTATCAAAAGTACATGTATCTCATTTCTTCGAGTACATTGGCTAATGACGAATTTTTTCAATAAATAAATGTTTGTGACTATTGCTTTGGCATTCTAGAATCATGATATAAGCTTAAGATGACTTGCCTTTTGTAGAAAGTCTAATTGCTAGATTAAAAGCACGTGGGAAGTTGTGTACTATCACATATATCAATCCCAGATACATGATAATGGCAACAGTAAGGAAAAGATCAAATACGGCTGGTTTTACACTGAAATGAAGAATCGATAGAATGTAAATAAAATTAATAATCTACTTCTCGCATATGTAAAATATAACAAATGATTTTATACCTGTATACATTTAGCACTGCTTTAGTAACATCATAAAATATAAATTCTGGATCTTGCTTATCAGGCCCATGTAATGTGACTTTAACATCTCCAAGATATCGTGACATAGATTCTTTCAATGTTGCAATTAACAGGTTATTTTTATCAACTAACAATGGAGCGGCTCTTGGTTGAGATGCCAAGTACGTAAACCACAACGATAGTGATTCTTTAGATACTTCCTGTATAGAGAGGATATTAATTCTTATATATATATATATATATATATATATATATATATATATGTTCATAATTATAAATACTTATTTTTATATCAACGAATAAATATATTTTATTTAGTTGAATAAAAAAAAAAGAGCCTACCAAAGAATCTGCAAATATATGGTTAGAGCTTAGATTGTAAATGTGCCTTGCTAATGCCTCTGCAATCACTTGAGTGTTTTTGTACAATCTATCGATTTGTCCTTCTTCCATTATATCCAAAATAGTATTTCTGGCAGGATCTTCATGGCTTTTCAATGTGGACAGTGTAGCTGCTGGCAATCTTCTAATACTAAATCTTTCGTGTTCCCAAGCTAATGTTTCTTCTGCAAGATTTATTTTCTTATGTACGCCTTCAACGTGTACCGTATTTGAAGAATCTGCTACAGATTTTAATTGTTTACAAAACATTCCTCCAGATGAATTTTCTTTTGGTGGTTTTGAGACATGCATATAAAGATTATTTGTTGCAGAAAGTGTATCAAGACATATAACATAGGCTGCATCCTGAAATGAATTGCATTTTAGTTATATATATATATGTATATATTATTAAAATAATATAAATTATCTATACGATGCAGGAAAATATTACTTGAATAACAGATCCTTCAAGTCCATCCAATTGATCTTCCAACCATTTTTTACTACCTTGATAATTTAATTTCCCTGCTCCAGTAGCAATGAAAACAAGATTATAGTGGGGTCTTGATCGTCCACTGGAATACAACGCAGAAAATAATCTAGCCAATTCTAATAACATCGCCACACCGGATGCATTGCTGTCTGCTCCAAAAGATAATTCCTATACATGAGTATAAAATGTAAATCTTATATAATAATTTTATAATAATAAAAGAAATGATTTTAAATAAGTTTAATATAATATAAATAAAATCCTATCTCTCTTATACTAACCGGCGCTACACTTGCGCTATCGTAATGTGTAACTATTGCTATAGTAGGTAATTTTTCTTCCGCTCCGGTTCCTGTTAATTTTCCATGTAATATTGCTATTTTAGCATCATTTCTAACCATAGGTTGACTTGATGCAACAACTACTTGATAACCACTAGCAGAAATGGAATTAAATATAGCTTCTGCTGCAGAATGAGATTTTTCATCTGTCACAGATCCATCTGTGATATCATCTAAAATCCTTTGAAGATCCGGATGCCAAGTTGCAAAATAAACAGGAATTGGAGTTTCTGTGTCTGACAGCATAGATTTTTCTAAATCCATAATATGCTATAGATGAAGAGATGTTTGATATTAAAGATATTTATATTAAAAAAACAAAAAATTATGATATATATATATATATAAAATAATGTGTTCAAAATTAGATAATAACCTGTTTCTCATCGAATGTTAACTCATTTAATTTCTCAGGTAAAATGATAACCAAAGCTCCAGCTTTGTTCTTAATGGATTGAAACATGCTGGGTGTAAGATCTAACGCTTTAGTAATAACACAGTGCCTGGAAGTACTCCATCCGATGAGCGATCTTGCTTCTAATGAAATGGAAGCACTTCTGCAACCTAAGAGAAATAATTAGAATTTTTTATCAGGAAATATGAACTCTTCTCTTTCAAAAAAAAAA